ACAACCATGGTCTATGGTACAACTAAACATCCCAGCCCTGATAAAACATGATTTTGGGGTCACTATAGTGCGCACAACATTTTCTCTCTACCTAACACTAAATCTAACTACCTAAACTCGAAATCTGGACCCCAAATATTTCAAATTTGGCTCATTCAAACAGACGTTAAATTTGGACCCTTTTCCAATTCCAATAACTTCAGCTTGGATCCCTGCATAACATGTAGAAACATCACAATAATCACCATATTTAAATATGTGTGCATTTAGGAATTAGGAGATGAATGATAGTATGCAATAATTTGTCTACCATCCCCTCCCCCTCCCCCTCCCCCTCCCCCTCCCCCTCCCCCTCCCCCTCCCCCTCCCCCTCCCCCTCCCCCTCCCCCTCCTGAAGCGACATGACTATGACCTACACGTACACGTAGACAGTACAACCCACCATCTGGAAGTCATGGAAGACTGCTTTTCATACGTGCACAGGTCTACAACATGTCCCATTCTCAACAGGAATTCTCATCATGATGCCATCATCTTCTTGTTGGCATAGCGATCTATCGTTCGGCATCAACTATTACAGCCAGGAAGATCAATCTCACATTCTAGCACGCACCGAGGAGATCTGTATGTGACATAGGCATCAACACCGAACATACTTCATCCTTTTAACATCAATGGAATGGGTTAACCTGGTATAGGCTTCGACTGATCTCCGAGATCAGCTTCATGAGACAGTGATTGATGGTGATTAGTAGAGAAGAAAGTTAGAATCCCTGAGTAATGCTTTGGAGACACAATTGTGATTGTAAGAGATTTTCAGGTTTTTGGCATAAAAGTCATCTCAACTGTTGGGAGAAAAAATGGGAAGTTGATAGCAATATGATTACAGTCACAGCTTTATACAGTACACTTCATTTGGTAAACACAAGCAAAAAATAAACCATGTGTAACTTTTGGAATTATGTACATATGTGAAAAAGTCACATAATCATATCATATCTCTGTTATCTTTTTTTTTGGATAAAAAAATACATCACTCTCTTTTTGATAACTGTACTTTTAAAAATGTATTGTTTACCCTTAAAAAAGTAGAAGTGCCCAGTTGTTATATACTGCAAACTAGCAGGACCCGCGGAAATCCGCGGGATCCTAGAGGGGGGCGGGGGGTGTAAATAGATATATAGAGACTGTCTAAATTAAAACCACCAAGAACTTTATTTGCCATTCAGGCCATTAAGAAATATACATGTTAAGCGTCCCCACCCGCTTCCTTTTGGGGGCCGCCTCCTATTTTTTTTTTTGAAATTTTTTGAAAAGTTGTTTTTTTTTTAAAGAAAAAAAAACAGCGTCCCCGCCTGCTTCCTTTTAGGGGGCCGCCTCCTATTTTTTTTTTTTTTTTTTTTTTTATTTATTTATTTATTTTTTTTTGAAAGAAAAAAAACATGAAAAGCACTGCTAAAATGTATTTCTGATTTTAAAAAAGAAAAAAAAAATTGTCGGCCGCCATCTTGAAAAATAGCCTGAATGTCAGGAAAAATGTACGGAGCGGCCATTTTGAAAGAAAATAAAAAGAAAAAAAAAAGGGCCTCCTCCTTCCCATTTTTCGAAAAAAACAGGAAGCTAATCATGTTTTTTTTTTAATTTGGCCTTATATAAAAATTAAAAAAACGATCCAACTGTACCGGTAGTTATTCTTTAAGCCACTGGAACTGCGTAGAGTTCCGTAGTGTGGCGTACCGACTACGCAGAAATTAGGCTGCGTATTAATGGGGAAATAGTCCCTGCGTAGGTTATGCGTAGGCTGGCGAAAAAAATTAAACAGGTTGAATTGTTTTCGTTCATCTTGCGTACCCCTTTCCGTCCCTCAGCATATAGTAACGTAGGCCAGCGTAGTTGTTACGCAACACTACGCAACTCTACGTATTGACCCCACGCCAATTAGTGACCCGCAAGTGTCACAAATAAAGTATTAAAAATATGCTCATCTGACCCTATACGCCTAAAACCCCCGAGCTTTCGGGGGTTTATGGCCCCTTGAAACCCGTGGACCCCACGCCTATATTATATATACACTCAACTCGCTGCGATCTGATCTCTCCCCCCCCCCCCCCAACTTTGAAAAACGTAACCCCCGAGCTTTTGGGGGTTTATGGCTCCTTGAAACCCGTGGACCCCACGCCTATATTATATATACACTCAACTCAGGACCCGCGGAAATCCGCGGGATTCTAGAGGGGGTGCGCAGGCAAAAAATTAAGTTTTTCATTTCGGGGGCTCCATTTCAAATTTTAGGGAAATTTTCGGGGGCTCTTTTTTCTGGGGCTACTTTTTCATTAATTCATATAAGGATAGGCCTACACTTTGTTGAGATTTGTTTAGTAGGCTATTAGGTTTCAGGCTTCCTACTTCATAATTGCCTATTTAAAAAAAAACAACATTTTTCTAGTTCAATAACTAAGTTTTCATGCATTGATTTGATGCAAGAACTGTAACATAATAGACCCTAGATTGTGATTATTTCTGACCATGAATTTCGATAATCATTTTTCAAAGTAAAATTTTCACAGGAAAATCAAACAGTCTTTTAAAAACGTAGACATTAGAGTCTAGTAATACTTTTACTAATTCTAAGCTCAGGTTTCGTAAATCTATTCACGAAACTATATTGAAATCGCGGCAATAATGATGCAAACCAACAGATAACAATTTCAAAGTGTCAAATCTCTTCGACTCGAATTCAACTCACACACTTTCAACTGCAACTCAGCTCATCTCACACACACTACACAGTGGCAATGCACTATGTGTCAGTTACGGTGATTTTGTCTGATTTTCTTTACTTTGAAGAAATGATTATCAAAATTACGTAAACATGGCGAGAACATCACAAAATAGGCTTTAATTTCATACCTCTATTTATGGAAACTTTATAATATTGCAGCAATCGTGAATTCGTGATGGAAATTGATTGCAGTTTCGCGATGTTTAGTGGTTCATGGTCTAGATTCAGCTTCTACCGAAACAAAATCGACCGCCAAAAACTCGAGCCCTACGCTCCGTCTCGATCTCGCAACTGCGAAAATGTACGTGTTTTGGCGTACTTGCGTGCGACATGGTAAGCCAGGTAAGGTATGGAATATGGTTCGAGTTTTTTTTACGACCGATTTTTGTGTATACAATTTTATACGGATAGTCATCGGTCGTGTGTCTACGGATGTCATGTTGAATATCCATGAGGTATCTCTGTCGTCACGCATATCCTGCATTATGCATGTCGCGTCTGTTTTCGCCCTGGACGTCGACACGGAGGAGGACCTCGGGCGGAGTATAGCCAATTCGCTAGAGTAGACTCTCCCGCAGACGACGGCACCGGTCACCGGTACCCCGAGGGGAGGGTTCAGGAGGAGATAGCCGCACCAACTTGGGTCGGCGATCTCATTAAAAAACAATAGAATACAAAGGCCGGCGGAGACGTCATGCCCCCCCCCCCCCCCCCCGCTGAGCCTTAGCGTATTACTATTATAGATTCATGAAAATATCAAAATTGTACACATATATAATAAAGCATAATGTTCTGTAACTGAATCTAATAATTTACCGATTTATTGCATCAAATTATTTATTTTCAGCAAAATTAGATAAGCAGTTACTAGCTACTTGTAGCTAGAAATAAAAGTTATCAAACCAGAGAGAACTCAACGCATACATGTACATATCACCGCGCTACACCGAGCAATCAGGCAGGAAATAATACGGACATGCCGGTATGACACATACACTTCCTCTAAAAATGCCTTTTCGCTAAGATCCGGAACAGACCCTAAAAATGACTTTCACTTTAAAAGGGGATGGAATGCAACATTTAGACCTCGACTTTAAAAAAAAAATGAAAGAATAAATAATCAGAAGTCAAGTGTACCCATGAGCCCCTACATTTCACTCAGGACCCCTCAAATTAAAATACAGACCTTCCTCCCCCCCCCCCCCCCTTTCCAAAAAAAAGTTTTCTAAATGTTCATTTATTAGATTCTACAATATTCACTCCAGACCCCAAGAAAAACATTTTATTGTAAAACCAGAAACTGCATGAAATGTCAGTTGTCAAGATTCACAGAGTTTCATACAGCTAAATTAATTTCTTCAACATCTAAACCTTTAAAATGCATGGTGAAAGTATCTTACCCCGAACATCCTGTTGTTAACAACTTGTGAAATTTCTGATTTGATATTAGTGGGTAGCTCTAATTTACAACCTCAAAAATTAATTCCTTTTTGTTTAATAAGTAAGCAGTAAGCAGCATTTTCAATGTCATCAAAACTACCAAAGACTATAAAAGAAGAGGACCACACGGTTCATTTTTTTTTGGGGGGGGGGTGAAATTTTGCATGTGAATTATAAGACAAATGATCTCCCAAGTTCATAGAAATCACAAGTGAAAGTAAATCAAATTTTAATTGATCAACCTTGACAGAATTTAGATATTTACATGATAAAGCACGAACAGGAAGGATATCAACTCAATCCAGTGAATTTGCTATGAAATGCATTGTACCGGTACATGATTTTTGCCACCCTATTGTACATGTACACATACATACAAAACTGAACAAGTACAGGTACATTGTAGTATGTTTCATGATAAATCAACAACAGTTAAGTTAAAATGATTTATTGATGGAAAACCCATCCTAAATGCAGTTACGAATTTCCCAACAATGAGCCGGGAAGTCATAACTTTGGGGGAGAAAGTTGTCTTCTTCCTAAAGTGAGAGAGAGCTGGAAGGATGCATCATTTTGTGATAATTTCAATGCATTCTCATTCCCTGGTGCACATGTGCATGTACATGTATAAGCCCTTGAAAATACAAACATTTTTATAAAAATCTAGTACATTTTATTAATCTCAAAGAGATACAAGACCTATCAACTCTAAAAAAAAATAGAAATATTTAAAAAAAAAAATAAAAAAAAAAAAAAGGAGATTTGTTGAAGATCTTACCTTCCTGATTGACACTCTGCATGAACATGGTTCCAGGATTCCTGTGTTGGCGTTAGCGCTCATCCGGCAGTTGAAGCTAAACTTGCTTCCCCAATGAACAACATGGTCTTGAATTTCTTCCCTGCAAAATAAAAAGAATTTTTGTTTGCTAGTTAGATTTAAAAAAATAGATGATAATAAAACAGATTTCTACAGGGTATGGAATCATAGAGATGTACTAGTTAGGTGGTTTGTGCACTAGAGAGGAGATCAGATGCAAAGGTGATGGGTTCAATGCCCCAGCACAACAATACATCCTTTGGCAGGTCATGAATCTACAATGTGCGGTTGGCACTTTCAACCAAGATATAGAAAATAGGTACCTGGTATGATATATTCATGCATTATTCTCAGAACTAATTACTAAATACTTGCACATGCAAAAAAAGGAGAATACAAAATTATAAAATCCTTCATTCACTTGAATAAGACGGACGAATAAATTCTATCTACAATAAGCTAAATGTAGGTCTATTTGATACCAGTTCATGTGCTATCCATTCCACAGATGATTCTAAAATACACACATCAATATCCATTAAGATCACCACAATAGCACGGATCCACCTTTCTGTATTCTGCAGACCCCCCCCCCCCCCCCCCGCCCCAAAACAAAAACCATTTTACATGTACATGTACACTGTACATGTGTAGATACGTGTATCTTTACAACCAATAAACCCACCCCCTCCCCCCCCCCCTCTCTCTCTCTCTCTCTCTCTCTCTCTCTCTCTTTCATCCCCTCTCTATTTGTCCATCCCTCCCTGATCCTCTATTCTGCGACAGTAATTCCCAATTTGTCATTTAAATCATCCGCTTCTCCTCCTGTCACTAAATTTCATCACCAAAATCACATTCCTCAAGGCACATGTACATGTTATTCTGTAGAATACCCCTCCATGCATTGTTTCTACTAATAAGCAATATATATTCATTAAATTCATTTCAAGCCCAAATTGAGTTAGAATCCAATTTGTTTGAAATCAAATGACAAGAGTGGGAAGTCCTTGCTACATTTTGTCATAAATGGATATTACATATCAATTTTTAATTGCAGCTATTGTAAACACTGAATAATACCATACATTATACAGACATTGTTTCTCATTGGGGGGGGGGGGGCGGGGAGGGGGGGGGGGTGGGGGAAGGGCATTTATCAATCAGATTTTATAAATCAGACATCTGAATGCAATTCTTGATGTTCATAAGTGTGAATGGATGAACTGCTTTGGAAAAGAAAAAAAGAAATTTAATTTTTTTTTTCAATCAGGAATTAGCAATTAGGTCGGTAAGAGTTAACCTCCAAAGAGTCAAATTCAAATCATTTTGGGAAGCAAGAAAAATTTCATTATGATCAAGATGACATTTAAAAAATTCCATCTACAAATCCCTAGATCTTTTCATCTATAATTGGAAAGCTGTTCTATGTTTATTTTCTACAAAAATACAGTAACATTGGCAAAATTAATGATGAAATAAATGACAAGTTTAATAAGCATTTCTGTATTTTCAAACTGAGAATTTTTGTCATATTAGTGACACATTAGCAAACAGACAAGTGTTAAATCGTTGATTTTAATTTGTGAAATGAGCTCTATATTTTATTTATAACTTGCACCAGGGTTGCTAATGTATAGTTGTGCAAAAGGTATCCGTGCAGCTCTGATTCTGAATGTTACATGTAATTACAAGTACACCTGTACACTGTACTAGATGGCTTGTGTATTGATCAGATATATGATTAAATACACAGGGCTGGCCATACTGTACATGCCATTGAATGCATACATTTACAATTGAATTTAGTCAAAATATCCCAAATTTCTCTGCATTATATTAAATGTGTTCACATTGAAAACAGCCCATAAACAAACCAATTGTGAATGCTTTATGGGTGGTACGATAGGGTCTTTATCATATTTGTTGTGAAAGTGCAATATAGGGTCTGAATGCCAGCCTAGTCTGCCTAGTGATGAGCACCCTCCCAGCAAGTGGGATTATCATTCAATACTACACTAATGAGAGGAATTAAGGCAGCTCATTTACATCTACAGCCCAAGAGCAAGTGGATGGGCGTATCATGTACATCCTAAATGAGAAAAGTACAATGCATATCTTGCGGTTGTGCCTTTTTTTGTATACCGGTAGATCTATGCATAATTGACATGATGGTTATAAGTACAGCCTTCAGGCAAAGTACATGTACATTATACATGCAGGCCTACCGTGCAACTTGGATTGTGTTGGACATTCAAGCTTCACAAATTATAATTTGCTTTTTTCATTATTTATTTAAGTGGAAGAGGAATCTGATTTTAACAAAAGAAATCTAATGTAGGGCCTATTTTTTAATAGTACCCCCAACAAAGTAACCAGTACAGACTTCACTTTTATTGATCTTTTTTCTTTTTTTCTTTTTTTTTTTTGGGGGGGGGGTGAAAAGAAGACAAAACATGATCGTATAAGAACAAAATCCAAATCGTTTAGAGATTACACCCTGTATACATGTATGTGGACTTCAAATTTCACACATTCTGATCACTATAAAAGTAATTTCATAGGCGTCATACAGTGTATGTCTCTTAAGTCTACCCCCCCCCCCCCCTCCCAACCCCCTCACCAACCACCAAAAGAAAGGAGAAAATATTACATGTAGCTGTTCACTCAACACTATACATGTAACACCTACAATGTACGGTACATGTACATGTACATTGAAACAGTGACAGATATTGCCTTGAATCACACAGTCACTTTCAATGCCTTTCACAGCATGGGGTCCCAAATTAATAACCCATCACCATCATCATCAGCTCTGCATAGCATTAGTGTGCATTTCAACATAGACGTAATGATTTCAACACCTCCCCACCCCTTGTACTACACACAGGTGTTAACCTGAGCAGGCCATACCATGCCAGTGGGAATAAACTGTTCAATGTCCAACACCATTATCATACATGTAAGGCCTACATGTAAATGCGTACTGTACTACTGTTTAAGGAGCCTGATGCCTTCGTGTGACATCTGTGGAAACACTTTACAGTTGACAGAGTTCAAATGCAGAAAGCTATATCCATCACAGCTGATTGATGTTAATTACAATGTGCATACAAATGTCTTAAAAATACAGTACAGACAAGATGTTTTGTACACTACAGTGCAGTGCAGTATAACCATTTATGAATCCTATATTCATATTTGTTCTATTCAGGAGTCAGTACGGTCTCACTTCATTTGTTATCAGGTATTTTGAGTGCATCCAAATGGTCAGGTACATGTACTGTACATGGTCGGTTGATGTACTGTACATTATGTACTTGGTCCTACACATTGTCATGTACAAGATGCATAGCTTGACAGCATTCACTGTAGGCCTACATTAACATACAATAAAGCCTTCTCAAAAGTTGATGTATGTTGGACGTGATATCCAACAAAGAGCAACCAGACTGTCCATATTGTCTTGTACATATATTTCAATCAACAAAGGTGTCAATCAGAAGGGGGCAAGGGGTGACTGTCCCCCACCCCCATATTTGGTAAATAAAATGGAACACCCCCCCCCCCTCCCTGATAGAGCTTGATGCCCCTATAAGTTTGGGCCAACATCTTTGAATCCTATCCTTGTAATAGGTTGGGGCGATTGAAAATGTTCAGTTGTGGATGAGAAATACATGTAGATGACAGATTACTTCCACCATCACTTTGTAATGATGTTGGTAAAATAATGATTTGTCCTTGATGACAGAGATGTCAGGGAATGCGCTTAATCCAACTAAAATTACTGCTCATTACTTTCTTATAGGTGTACATGTAAGTATGGGATTCATTTTTTTTTAACAATAAAACTTTCAGAAAAAACTGAGCAAGCTCTTGATCGTATCAGAAATATAAGTTTTAAATTTTAAACAGACATGGGAATGATGAAGTGATCTGAAGTGATTGAACTCTGGTGTTGTCACTGAATATAAGCTTGTTTTCTCCTAACGTTACATTAAACATTGCAGATACGTCTTTTGGCGAGAGCAATGTATCTTATTTTTTGTTAGATCTCGTTCCAGAACATTTTTCTGATTTCTAAGCCAGAATTAATCTGCTGGCATTGACTCTAATTAGACACTTAATCACAATTTGTAAACTTTATCCTTGAGCAGAGCCTACTGTACGTGTACACGTAGCTAAGCCAGTCTCTGGCTACATTAAGTCTGGAGCAGCTAAACTACAGAACTACAGATTCTAAGCCGACAAAATAGTCATACAGCGCAGACCATATTTAATACGCACAGCTACTGCAGGGCTGCCAACTCTCACGCAATCTGCGTGAGTCTCACGCAATTCAACCCATTCTCAAGCTCTCACGCTGATCTTAGGATCTCTCACGCTGAACCCCGAAAATAGAAACTAAAAAAAAAAAAATGTCTATTATATCGGATATTCAATATCCCTGCCGAAAGTTTCAACATTTTTTTAACCACACGTGCGCAAAGCTAAACCATTAATGCAAATTGGTTTCGGTTTGCCGCGCAAAGACAAGATAGTGAATTGCGATTGGCTTATCCTGCGTGTGCGAGGAGTGACGTCGTCACTTTACTATGAAGCGGGGTTTTTGTGCGCGACACTAAAACAAGCGAGTGTCGATGCCATGGCCTGTCATCGCTGTACATATCGCAGCGCGCCCGGCCGGCCCGGGTGGCTCACAGTGTTTGCGATCGGATAAAGTCGTCAGGCTTCAGCCGGTACAGGTGAGTTTAAACTCTTGTCTTACGATCTGCGTTAGATGTTAAAGTATTTTATTTATCTGTGTTGACGTTGGGGCGTATTCAAGAGCCTATAATTTCGTGAATTGGTATCTTAAACTCAATTTTAGTGCATAATTGACAATTTAATTAGTGCTTTTTAAGTTTTACAGTCAGTATGATGGGATCTAGTACAAAGTGTCTGCTTAGTCCGACAAGTAGAAAATTTTGTGGTAGACCGTAATTTGTTAGGTCTTCTTCACAGATGGGAGGCTGGGGGTCATTCCACACAAAAAACAACAAAAAAGTTCCAAAACCAATAAAAAAAAAAAAGGAAAAAAAG